TGGTGTGAATTACTTGTGGATTATTGTGATGTTTTTATCAGCTGTTTGGACTCTCATTCTGACGGCACCCATTCACTGCAGAGGATCCATTGGTGAGACAGTGATGGAATTTGAATTTCTCCAAATCTCTTCCAATGAAGAAACAAGCTCATCTACATCTTGGATGGCCTGAGGATGAATACATTTTTAGCACGTTTTTTTCACTACTATTCCTATAAACAGCGATTTGCCGTTCAAAAATCTGGGGTTGTTACAATTTTTTAAAATTGTTTTGAAAAGAAGTCTCTTATGCTCACTAGCTACATGTATTTGATCAAAAATACAGTAAAAACAGCCAAATTGTGAAATATTACAATTTAAAATAACTGTTTTCTTTTTGAATATATTTTAAAATGATAAAGGGGCATTTTGATAGAACGCTCATGTTGTTTGTTTGAATCTGAATCACCTTGAACATTATTTTATGGCAAATTATTCATTTAATTTGTCAGCCAGCTGTGGCTTGCACGCGATATTAAATTGTGATTTGCTGCGATTAAAATGTGCGAGTGCCATGCTGTCCATAGAGAGGGATTAGATAATAGAACAACCTCATATTCACATCATATCATATCAACTGTGTAAATATTTGCTTCATATTCAGTGTTGATTGAAACCAATAAAGCTACAGTTTACCCTCGGGTGAAGAGCTTGATTATTTTATTACCTGTTTGAAGTTTACAAACAGAAAATAGTTTAATTTTTAATAAAAGTTTATTGAGTGAATTAGGACGTTGGAGTCCTTCATTAAAAGATCAAATATTTTATTAAAACATGCTGTCGAATACCCAGTTTAAAGCAGTTTTATGTATTGACCTACAGATGGCGCTCTGCATTTATACTACATCGACTGAACTGGCATTAAATCAACACCAGGGGACGACAAAGTCACACTGACTTATCAGCAGGCCTCAAATGGAGCCTTACATCAGCTGTAGAGTCACAAGAATGCCATTGTAAAAAAGATACAAGTCAAGTGTTATAGTTTTTATCTGAAATAAAACATT